TTTTAGTAGAGACGGGGTCTCGCTCTTGCTCAGGCTGGTTTCGAACTCCTAAGCTCAAACAATCCGCCCGCCTCAGCCTCCCAGAGAGCTAGGATTACAGGCGTGAGGCACCGTGCCCGGCCTGCTTCTTTCATTTTGCATAATATTTTCAAGGTTCATCCACATAAGATGTGTCAGTGTTTCATTCCTTTTTATGGCTGGGTAATAGTCCATAGTATGGACAGACTACATTTTGTTTATCCATTTATCAGCTGACAGATATCTGTGTTGTTTCCACTTTTTGGATATTATGAATAATGCTGCTAGGAACACTTGTGTACAAGTTTCTGTGTGGAAACATTTTCAATCCTCTTAGGTACATACCTAGGTCATATGTTAACATTATATGCAACCTTTTAAGACTTCATCTTCTTTTAACATACAATTGGGGTTGCTGATTTTAAAGAAATTTATCTTGTTTGTAAGGAATTAAAATTACTTTCATATTCCTATAAATGTTTACATTTTCCAGGGTAGCAAAAAATAAGGATAATTCCAATGTTCTGTTATATTCAAAACCATGCCAATCAAACACTGTAAATCTTAGGCATAATACAACAAAAACCGAGGGCCAACCAATAAGGCTAAAGTTTCAGAGTTTGTTCATGAGATTTGAAATATTACATTCTTAGTCCTAAATCTCAAACATAGCAAGAGAGAAAAAACATATAGCCTTGAAAGCTAGTCTTAAACTACTTTCTGAACTACAGATAACATTATTTTGTCTCTAAAGTTCTGTAGCTATTTTGAAATAAACTGATCAAATATATAGTTTTCACAGTAATTTTTGGTCAGACTACATTAACACATTAACTGCCATGTGAGTTGTATTTAACTCATGCTGGTTTTGAGCCCGGGGCCTTGTGAAGCGTATGTAACTGACACGTCTCTTCACCTTGGGAGCCACGAGAACTATTTCTCAAGTTGCATATAACTCACACACAGAAAACAATAAAAAATAACAAATTTTTCATTAAATTAGAAAGGATCATTTTGTCTTTGAAGTTTTTATTCTATTTCATAATAGAACACCATGGCCCCAAGGGAAAAAATTTTTTTTCCTAATGTGGCAGTCAATGTGTTAAAGATACAAACAAGGCAAGTCAAATTCCACTTGTCAAGTTGGCCTCACATTTTTCAGAAAGCCAAATTCTGATTATTTAGAGAGAAATAACTAGGCTTCCTATTCTGTTATTTTCGCCTCATGCACATAACTGCAGCAGACATGCAAACTGACCTCACCAAAGACAAGGGGTGCATTAGCTAAGCACCTCCAAACTGGCCCTGCTCTTCACCACCTGTGCTGCAGAAATACAAGGAGAATGAGCAGTATGTGAAAATGCCCAACCACTGCATGGAGATTATTACCTAAGGTTTTCTCTTTGTTCCTGCTGTACTCCGAATCTTGCTGACCATCAGGGGGGTCTGTTCGAGCTTCTCGCCCAGGAACTGCCTCTCTTGACGCTTGTGTGCAGTATGCTGGGCTCACCAAATTCCTGTTCTTTGTTATAAAGTCACTGCCTTCATCCTCTTCCAAAGAATGCTTGTTACTTGTGCCACCACAATTTGAGTCTTGACGTTGAAGAATATCATTTGACTGAGAGTTACACAACCTATCCGCTTTCACCCCTAGCCCACAAATTCCAGCTTCTTCCATTGTGCCAATTTCAAACTAGAGGGAAGAGGAAGGAGAAAAAAGATGGAAGAAGAGGTTAAATCAAATGTAATCAATGTTAACAACCAGTGGCACATCAGAGTTCAACAGCTTTTTTCTTTCTTAGTGGTTTGTAAAATCAATGTAAACATGGTAGTTTCTAAGTTTCGCTGAGAGGTGACCTAACTATAAAGTATAAGGAAATTAAAGTTAAAACAAATCACATAAGTATTAGCAAAGGAGGCCAAAAATGCCATTCAATTATAAATCAAAACTTACTTCCCTAGAAAAATTCACCACCTAAAATAATTAGCACCTTAACATAACCTAAATTGTCCCCCATTAATGAACATTAACTATTCCAGTCTTATCCTCAAGGAGAAAAGACAGCAGAGATGGCTACCTAGCTATCCACCAAAAACCCATGCTCCACCATATCCTGTGGAGCTGGCACTATGGGACAAGGGTCCAGCCAGGGACTACACTTCCCAGCCCCCTTACATCTAAGTGGAACTCCACGTGAAGGTCCCACCAATTGAATGTGAGCAGAGGTAATGACTGTCCCTTCTGCAACAAGACTTTTATTGTTAGCACAATTCTTTCCCCACCATCTCTCCGCCATTCTGGCTGAATACAGAGGTCTGCAAGACCCTAAGGCTGCAGTCCCCAACCCCCAGGCTACAAACTGGTACCAGTCCATGGCCTGTTAGGGACTCGGCCACAGAGCTCTGCCGCTGCCACCCCGCACCCCACCCCCTGCGGAAAAACTGTCTCCCATGAAACCTGGGGGGGTGCATAGGAGGGGAGCGGCAGGCAGGCAAGGGAAGCTTCATCTGTATTTACAGCCACTCCCCATCACGCTCATCATCGCCTGAGACCCAACCCCTCAAAATGTGGAAAAATTGTCTTCCATGAAACCAGTCCCTGGTGCCAGAAAGGTTGGGGACCGCTGCTAAGGGATCGTAGAGCCACAGAATGAAAGCAGCCTGCACCCTAAATCCCATGTACATACAGGAAAGCCACCCTCCCTACAAAGAAAACCCACACTTGACTATTAAGTGAACAAAAAATAAACTTCTCTCATGTTAAACCACAGAAACTTTGAGACTGATATTTTAAGCAGCTCTCCCTGCCCTAACTAATACAGATAATACACATAGTAAAGATGCCTTTATTCCAGTATTTTATTCCTGTATCAGTAATTTTACCTCACTCTTTTCTATCATATTGATAACCTTATTTATTCATGTGGGTTTTTCCCCTTGTTTAACACTACCTGGTCACATGATGTAGCAAAAATTTAAATTCTATACATTTCCTCTCTGTATGAAAGAGGGCCTCTTCCTTTTCCGAATAACACAATTGAGGGGGTGCTAATATCCCCCTCTTATCGCAAGTGGACAAAAGCTACTTTCAAAAATTAATGGAAGAGCTGCCGGGTGCGGTGGCTCACGCCTGTAATCCTAGCACTCTGGGAGGCCGAGGCGAGCGGATTGTTTGAGCTCAGGAGTTCAAGACCAGCCTGAGCAAGAGCGAGACCCTGTCTCTACCAAAAATAGAAAAATTAATTGGACAGCT